TAAAGTGGTGCTTCAGGTTAAGAACAGTTTCAGGTTAAGAATGGACCTCTGGAACAAATTAAGTATTTAACCCGAGGTACCACTGTACTGCCCTCCCGGCATACGTTTTAACACTTACTTAAAAGCATTTCTGAACCACTGCATATTTTAAAAGTCTCTAAGCAGTGTGCCTTACATACAATAGTGAAAAAATATCCATTAAAACAAAAACACAGCCTAAAATCAATAAAACTGCATGAAAACAAAAAGCATTTAAAACCGATTCAATGCATTAATACACATAAACCAGGGCCTAACCTAGTCAGGGAAAGCCTGTGAAAAAGATCTCTTTATTACATGTAGAATTATGTAGACTTCTATTTTGAGATTAGAATTTTTGTGATGCTGAATGGTCAATTGTTTTGTAGCAAATTTCCCCCCTTCTTTACTAATATTAAGTGATTTGTATAGGAAGCCCTGTACAAAATATTTCGCTTGTGCAATGGGGCTCCTCCCCCTCCTCCTGCCCATAATCCAGAACGAGGCAGTGGGGAGGGATTGTTCCATCTGGCAAGCTGATATGCTTGTGCACATGGAATGCTAAACATCAATCAATCATTTTATTTGTATGCCACCTTTCCAAAGTTAAAACCATGCTCAAGGCAGCTTACAACATATCAGACAATAAACATCAAAAAGTACACAAAACTGAACATTTTCCACATAAGAACCAAAATAAAAATACAAAAAATAACATTAACAATAGCAACAACACACACCCAGCACAAAAAACCCACCTTCCCAAACAATACCCCGGTCCAACATAGTGCCATGTTGCCACTCCTACCATAAACAGGCAAGAGGGTTCTGAGACTGCTCTGCCCAGCTACGAGAAATCTTTAATCTGTATAATCTGAGGGCAGGGTAATTGGTTCCACAGTTAATATTGCTGTGTGTTGTATGGCGATTGTGAGCATGAAGACACCGTACACTATATGATGTTTAGATTTTCTTTTTTACAAAATATATTTTCTATTGTTTCAGTTCGTATAGGTAATATAACCATTTTAAAAAGGAAATACTGTTAGTATATTTACCGTATTTTTCGCCCTATAGGATGCACTTCTTCCCCTCCAAAAATGAAGGGGAAATGTATGTGTGTCCTATGGGGCGAATGCAGGCTTTCGCTGAAGCTTGGAGAGCGAGAGGGGTCGGTGTGCACCGACCCCTCTTGCTCTCCAGGCTTCAAGAGAGCCCCAGCGCCAGCCCCACAAGGTTGGGGGATAGCGGGGAGGCGGAATGCCGCCATCCCGCTGTCCCCGGACCTGGTCTGAAGGCGGGCGGCGGGGAGAAGAGCGCTTCTCCCTGCTGCCGGCCCCACAAGCACCTGGGGGGGAAAATAATTTTTATTTTCTTTATTTCCCCACAAAAAAACTTGGTGCGTCCTATGGGCTGGTGCGTCCTATGGGGCGAAAAATACGGCATACTGGGAAGAATACAGTTTATGACGGTCACTCATCCCCCTCTCTTCAGTTTTGTTTCTTGATGAACCCCTAGCTATGGAAGTTTCTTTACTTTCCCCTCTATAATAACTTGCATTTAAGCGGCACTTCCAAAAATGTGATATTTCGCAGGACACCTATCTTGCTAGGCAAAGGGAACCTTGCATCAACACAAAGCACAATAAACACAACTGTAACCTTCCTAACATCTGTTCACATAATTTTGAATAGTAGCAAGCCATGTAATTTCTGGTGTTGTTGTAGAAGCCCAGCAGAACAAACTTACACAACCTGCCTGATATTCATATGACTAATACACTTGAAAGGGACGCGGGTTGCGCTGTGGGTAAAACCTCAGCGCCTAGGACTTGCCAATCGCATGGTTGGCGGTTCGAATCCCCACGGCGGGGTGCGCTCCCGTCATTCGGTCCCAGCGCCTGCCAACCTAGCAGTTCGAAAGCACCCCCGGGTGCAAGTAGATAAATAGGGACCACTTACCAGCGGGAAGGTAAACGGGTTTCCATGTGCTGCGCTGCCTCGCCAGACGCAGCTTGTCACGCTGGCCGTGACCCGGAAGTGTCTGCGGACAACTCTGGCTCCTGGCCTATAGTAAGAGATGAGCGCACAACCCTAGAGTCTGTCAAGCCTGGCCCGTACGGGCAGGGGTACCTTTACCTTTTAATACACTTGAAAACATAGGACTTAACTTCCTATCAGCTCCTATAACAAAATGAGTGTATGAGACTGTAGAATATTTTAGGCTACTACTTGCTATATTGCTGAATTGCGAAGCTGAAGTGCCACACTTTGCTTTTAGGGCTAATTAGGCTTCATGAGAACTATTAGCACATTGTATAACACTTCCACAACTGCTTAAACAACAACAATAGTAAAGTTCTACTCAAACAGTTTAATAAAATGCTGAAAATGTGCACCCAAATCAAAATCCCCTTTTGTTATTCCTCACAGGACTGAAAGAAGTATAATTGATTCATATCTAGCCCAAAATAGAGCACACAAAATTATGGCTGTTTTTTCTTGGATGAACTCTCAGGGTAACTTCAAGTGCGTTCTCTGCGAATATGTGTCATTGAGAATTCATTGGATGGAGGTTTTTTGGGGGGGAGGGGAAGAAACCACTTCAATTGTTCTTAGAGTTTGCACAATGAACTCTATTCAGAATAAGGAAGTACTGAGATTGATTTCAGACATTACTTATACAGTTTGCACAGGAGAATGAAAAAAGGAAGAGGCGAAAATTCACATACCATAGCCTAGAACTTTTAAATAGGGAACTTGTGTTAAAGGTGTCAATTTCAATTGTCAACTTGCACTCTCCTGTGCTGATTAACGTAGGTCTCCTAGCACCAGAGCTGTGTGAAAAAGGGTCTCTGGATCTTCTAGTCACTTCTCCCCACTCACAATCCTTGAACGTAGGGGAAAGTATAGTCTATGTATCCATTATCACTAAACCTTTTCCCATTGCTCTTTACAGAAAATACTATTTACCAATTCAATAACATATTAGATCTTCCTATCTCCATTTCCTTAGTCCTAGCAAAAGCAGCCTTGCATTTAAATAAACCAGAATAAGATATCCACACATTTAAAAATGCAAGTGGATTAGAACTAAATAGAAATAGGAATGAGTAATCTACGTATAAGAATTGGTATTTTTGAAATGAAGAGAAAAGTAAAAAAATTTTTTAAAGAGTGCTTATCTTTAGAGGAATCGCTAGTATTAAGGACTACCATAAAAGCAGCAGTAGTATGTTAAACTGAATAAACCCATTAATTCAGCATTCTTCCATTTGCTTACACTAAGCTTACAAGGTGGTTCAGCTATGTCTTTTCTTTATTGAGCATTTGTTTACAGGATAGTTACATGAGAAGGAGAATTCATCCTAATTCACTTATGGGGTGCTTGTCTTCCTGTTAATCAGTCGTTTATCTCACTTTTCAGTGCATTTCCCTAACCACGGAAAATGGATTTCTTGTGCTAGAATGACATAGCACTTCAACCATGCAAAACTAAGTTCCTGGTATGTGCCTGAATCCATCCCTCCAAACAGTGACAGCCTGGAGGCAGTGGAACCCTATATTTGGCTAAGCACTAGATAAATCTAAGGGTTAAGTTCTGATAAACCAACTCAAATTCATCTACCTATACTGAAATTTTTAAGACAAACTGCTTTCCATTGTGTTGCAGAACAATGCTGAAGGAAACTTACAGAAAGCAGTTCTTTTTTAAGGAGAGAGCAAACTGTTTAAGAAACAATATAAAAATATTTCAAACCAAAGACTCCCAGCCCAGGGGTGAGGAGTCTGTGGCCCTCCAGATGCTGCCAGAGTCCCCAGCCAGTAAGCAGCCAGTGACCAATAAGCAGGTGTCATGAGAGTTGGGCTGCAACAACATCTGGAGGGCCCACCCTTGGACATCTTTTCACATTGCTGTCACAAGACTCAACAACAGACAGCCTGCCAGCAAAGTATTTTTTTATAGAGATCTGATTTATTCTGGGTGACAGGAGTCGAATGAACGAAGTCGTAAAAGAACACACAAACCTGCAAGATGAGTTTGGTACGTTAGCATGATTTACAGAATTGGAGGGGGGAGGGAGAATCAGTACACTTAACTAAACTGCAATGTGACTGGATATCCACACCAGAGACCCTCCACACCGAAAAAATAAAGACACGTTTGTTTGTGAAGGGCTCGTCCTTTGCTTCTGCCTTTCTCCGGTCAACGTGCGAGGAACAGATTTGCAGGATTTCGCTTGTTACTACCCCCACATGCGAAAGCTTAGGTCGGCAGCTTGGCCGTGGCGCCAGCTTTTACACGCACCGCACGATTTGAGGAAGTGGGGTCTAGCCCGCAAATGACCGCCGTGCCCCATTGACGCCGCTAGTCCATAATAAATAATAATAATAATAATAATAATAATAATAATAATAATAATAATAATAATAATAATAATAATAATAATAATATATTAAGACATCACCAATGGGAAGACCTGAGTGGGGCACGGGGGAGGCAAGCTTGAGAGCACCCATTAAAAAACACCCAGCGGTCCCCAGGAGAGAAATCCGCCCTCCGGCCCCCCTCTCGGTAAGGAGAGCCAGAGGTCAGGGCGAAGGGAAGCGGGGAAGCTGCCTCCTTTCCGGACGAGGCACCAGGGGCCTAGTGGCCCAGCCTGCCCGAAGGGGCTGCCGCCGGGGCCTCTCACTCACCGGCGTCTGCGGAGCGGGGCGCGAGCGGAGCGGCGGAGCTCAGGCGCGGGGGGAACCGGCGGACGCCGAAAGGGGCCCTTCCCGTCACTCCATGGCCTTCGCGGGAGCAGCGGCGCCTGTCAGCACCATCACGTGACGACCGGCGGGGAACGGATCAGCTGACCAGGCGCTTCCCGTTTGGGAGCCTAAAGCCAGCCGCAGCTACCCCGGATGGAGAGGGGCGGAGCTCCGAGAGAAAAGCCGGAGAGCGAGGGGCGGCGGGCGGGGCTAAGGGTTACCTTGGAGCCGGAGCTCGGTTGGTGATTGGCGGAGAACGCTTGGGAACGACAGCGGACGGCCGCTAGGGGCGCCAGTGTCAAGGGAAGAGCCCGCGCTCTGCTCTCCCACTGTGGAGCTCAGATTTATGTGGGGACCGGGAGAAAGGTTGTTCCGCAGGTATGATTTAATTAACAGTGCAGTCCCAGCCCGGTCTACTCGGAAGTAGGTCCTGTCAAATTCAGCTAGGGTTGATTCCCAGGTAAATGGGATTAGGTTGGCATGGCAGCCTAAATTATGATGGGGAGGAAGAAAATAAATAAATCAGAATTTACATATAATAATATTCGTTTCTTGGGAACCAGGGCTAAGCCTCGGCATTCGTTCTGAAAGCCAGGACGATAGGATGAAGTCAGAGAGGAGAAGGCATGAAAAATTGTAGGGTGATTCTGTTAAATGAACAAATGCAGCAGTAACGTTAGAGGGCAGTACTTTAATTAGGAACATCCAGGTATTCGGGAAAGAGTAAAACATATTATTTACATTTGACCTCTGATATCTGCAGTTAGGACAGAGGAAGACTCCTGTCTAAAAATCCCTGGAGAGCTGCTACTCCCATATCAACCAGTGTAGAGTACTGAGCTAGTACTCTGACCGCTAGTTTCACTCGGGATGAGGCGATTTTCTGATAAACTAATATTTTTCTTCTTCTTTGAATGTGGAGTTTTCTGCATGTTATGGAGAAGCGGAGCAGGAAGGAGTTGAGCCTCGTGGAAATTCCAAGCACCGCAGGTTGAAACGTTATTAAGAAAACAATGCCACCGTATTAAGAGCACGTTCGAAAGGAGTTGTGTAGATTTAAAGCACAACTCTATGCGTGTTTCCTCTAGAAGCAAGTCCCACTTTCACTGTGTAGGATGAAGCTTACTTCCCAGCACATGTGCATAGGACTGTAACCCCAGTTTAATCATCTTGGATGAAAAACAGGTTTCACCAAGGGTTGCTGGGACAAAGAAACATCATGGTTGCTCCCCACACCATTTCATTAATTAATTACTTTGTCCAAGTAGCCCTGGTGAGACCTGGAATCTGTTTTGTGGCCTGCAGAATTTAAGCTAATGAAGTCTGCACTCCTATGCAAACTTGCAGGGATATAACCCCTGTTGAACATAGTATGATTTACTTCTCTGAATAAACTTGGATAGGATTGCACTGTAAATCTGCAAAGTATCTCCCCTCCCATGTTATCCAGGAATTCAGGAAAACTAAGGAGGCTGGTCACACATTTATGACCTAGGCTCCTTTGGGAGTGGGGATGGCGAGGTTGAGAATGGGGAGGGCAGGAACTGGCCCTACAGCCAGCACTTGACAGTATTGGGCCCAATCACTACACAAGTTCAGGCTGGCGGAGCCTGAAGCAGGCTTTTGTCTGTCTCCTGTTCTGCCCCAACCAGCATGAATGACAGGGATGTGGATGGACTACTAGCTACACTGCTCTGTCACGCTCAGCTACTGCCTAGCCATGGTTTCAAGTTGTTTTGCCAGTTGCCAGATAGGGAACAAATAAATGCAGTGTTTTTTACCAACAGGAAGAGAGGGAATCTAACAGCCATAACAACGTGTTTGCCAATACAGGTCCAACGTCCATTTCTAGATTGTGGTGATTAACTGCAAGAACACATCAATAAACACCAGGATGAAGCAGAATAACAAGGCAGATATTATCCAACTCTCAAATGGAAGCCAAATGTAGCAGAACATATAAGACATGGAAGAAATACATAGTGCTGTGAGTACAGAAAAGGTAAACAAATTTGAGTTTGCAATAAATGGAGATACCACTTCAGCAGCACCAGCTGTGATTTGCATGATCCCTACAAGGATTGTGGGTGAACAACCACCAGTTAAACACTGCCTGAAAGTACCTTGTAATCTAATCTTGCACCTTGATATTAATCCTTGAATTTCCAATTAACCCACAATTTTTTCTTGTGTATTATTCTGTGCGCACAAAACTTGACAAAACTAAAGTCACATCCACGCCATATGGTCAAAACACATTTAAAACACATGGCTTCACTCCAAAGAATCCAGGGAGCCACAGTTTATTAGTAGCTCTGTGAGGGGTAAATGACAGGAAAAAACTTAAATGTGTAGCACATTGTGGTCGCTACATATGTGCAGCACAGCACATTCAGTTGCCTGCAATGTAGCCTGGCATGACAATTAAATTGCAGGCCAATCAGTCTTCATGGTTGGTGATAACTCTGAAAAGTGTGGCAGGAGAATTAAGAGTTCTACTGTACACTCATATTCTGTGGGGTCTGCCACATTTGTAGTACAGTACTTGTATACTGGTAATTACTGTTGGGGAATGGGACAGGAAGGCACCAAGATACATTGTGATAATTGGTGGAGTAATATCCTAATTTAGGAAGATCCTTCTTTGAATCGTACTGCAATGGCACTCGGCCACTAACTTTCTTTGGAATACTTAAAGGTAAAGGTACCCCTGCCCGTATGGGCCAGTCTTGCCAGACTCTAGGGTTGTGCGCTCATCTCACTCTATAGGCCGGGAGCCAGTGCTGTCCGCAGACACTTCCGGGTCACGTGGCCAGCGTGACATCGCTGCTCTGGCAGGCCAGCGCAGCACACGGAAAACCGTTTACCTTCCCGCTAGTAAGCGGTCCCTATTTATCTACTTGCACCCGAAGGTGCTTTCGAACTGCTAGGTTGGCAGGCGCTGGGACCGAACGACAGGAGCGCACCCCGCCGCAGGGATTCGAACCGCCGACCTTTCGATCGGCAAGTCCTAGGTGCTGAGGCTTTAACCCACAGCGCCACCTGCGTCCCATTTGGAATACTTACATGCATATTTATCAGAGCTGCAGTATCTTGTGGTTTGTTCGCTCTTACAGAAAATGATACATTTTAATGCAGATTAAAACTTGGTTTAATTTTTAGACCTGCATTGATAAAGGTTATAAGAGAAATTGTTATGGGTCAATCGAAGTCTGCTTTTATTGTCTGCTCGAATACATTTATACTCAGAAGTAAGTCCCATGGCTTATTGGGGTTTTGAAGTCATGTCTCCCCAGTTCAAGTCTAGCACTCCACTTAGCATAGGATTTACGGTTCATACATGTGTATAGGATTACAACCCTAGTTATAATTTTGTGCTTCACAAAAAGCAAACATTACTTAGTCCACACAGGTTCGAATCATATGTTACAGTGTGCAGCACAATGCATTCTTACTCAGAGAAGTATCATCAAGCCTTATTATTTAAATTAAGTCCTAATAGTCTGCAGATGCTTAAGACTAGTAATAATCCATTACTGCATTCCTGTTTTCAGGAAAAGTCCTCTATTACAATAACAGCAGCAGCTCCTTTCTCATGGAGTCTAGATTGGGAAGGTAGCAAAGACCATCTACCTATTTTCCTTTCCTTTTTATCCTATCCTTCTTCCAAGGAGCACAGGTAGAATACATGGCTCTCCCCTACCTGTTTTATTCTCACCACAATCCTTGCAGGTTAGTTAGGCTGAGTGAAAGTAATTGGCCATTTTTTTATGGCTTAGTGTCAATTTTAATTCAAATCTCTTCAGTTCTAGTATGGGGATATGTACACACCTTGCATCTAAAGCTCCCCCCAAAGAATCCTGGGAACTGTAGCTTACCCCTCACAGAGCTACAGTTCCCAGCACCCTTAACAAACTACAATTCCCAGGTTTTCTGGGGGGTATACTTTAAATGCATGGTGTCTATGCAGTCTAACACTCTGCTACAAGCTACACCTATTGAAATTTGCTCTTCTACACAACAATTAAAGCGGTAAAGTCTTGTCCCGTTTTGCCTCTTACTACCTTACAGATCAATTGATGCAATCCTGAATGCACTGTGCCACAAAAAGAATAAGTACTGTACAGCTGGGAAGGGAAACCAGATGTTCTTGGAATCCAGTTCTCATTAGTTCCAGCCAGCATGGCCAATGGTTAAGGAAAACGGGGGTTTGCATCCAATTTCATCTAGGGGCTCCATACCTGCAGGCACACCATGCTTGATAATGCTGAAGAAAGCACTTGCCAGTCTGAGTCTATTGAAAATTCCTTCCTGGCCCCAAATAAGGTAGTCAGTGAGGCACCTGTTAAGTAAGCAGAATTTTATTTGGTGCCCAACATCCAATGTCACCCAGCATCTAATTTCTGCATTTGGCAGTTTTGAAGCAAGTGGATTTAATGAATAGCTTATATTAAAGTTACCAGACGTCCCTGTTTCCTGGGGACAATCCCCGGATTTACAAACCATTCCCCATACAAAATCCATTGAAGTTGAAAAGTGTCCCCAGATTCATTGATAAAAGTCTGGTAACCTTAGCTTATATACAAGGGAAGGAGTCATTTCCTGAACCCAATGGGCTACCACAGCAGAGATATAAAAAGTAAACCACACCATCATTATCTTTACAAATAATCCTGAACATCCGTGATTATGACTATCCTACAGGGGTCAAGCGGAGGTTAGATTATTATCACTCACTTCAGAAGCATTGGCCAAGAAGGGTTGCTATAAGTCCTCTTTTTCCAGGACATGCCCTCTTTTTCAGGGGAAAGATTTCTGTCCTGGCGTATTTTTTGATTTTGCTAAAATGTCCTAGTTTTTTCCCCTTTGGTACCAAACCCCTCTCTTCTTCTTCTCTCTCTCTCTTTTTCATTTTCTCCTATCCCCCTCCCTCTCCCTCCCTCCCTCCCTCCCTCCCTCTTTTTCTCTTCCTTCTACATAAAAAGCCACCATTTTGCTTCATTGCTTTTCCTGGGCTTTTTAATTAATTATTTTGTATGCCTTCCCACCACCCCACGGACACCCCAGAGAGGGGGAGGCAGATTTCTTTCTATTAACATGTCTCCCACTCCCCCCCCCAATTTTGCATGCACAAATTTTGCTGCATCCCTCCCTGGCACCCTCCAATGTTGCTCCAGCGTGTGCCCCGCCCACAGTATGCCCTGGTACACGCCCACACCCCTATCCACCCCAGACACCCCAGACACCCACAAATGTGTCCTTTTTGCTCTTCAAAATACAGCAACCCTAAAGTAGTGGTGAGGGACGCGGGTGACGCTGTGGGTTAAACCACAGAGCCTAGGGCTTGCCAATCAGAAGGTCGGCAGTTCGAATCCCTGCAATGGGGTGAGCTCTCGTTGCCCAGTCCCTGCTCCTGCCAACCTAGCAATTCGAAATCACGTCAAAGTGCAAGTAGATAAATAGGTACCGCTCCAGCGGGAAGGTAAACAGCGTTTCCGTGCGTTGCTCTGGTTCGCCAGAAGCGGCTTAGTCATGCTGGCCATGTGACCCGGAAGCTGTACGCCGGCTCCCTCGGCCAATAAAGCGAGGTGAGCACCGCAATCCCAGAGCTGATCATGACTGGACCTAATGGTCAGGGGCCCCTTTACCATTACCTTTAAAGTAGTGGTGATTATGGGTATTGCCTTGCAACAATGCGTGCCTAATCAAGTCAAAATGATTCTACCCATTCTCTAAAGGTGTCTTCCTCTAAAAGAAAAAAAAAGGGGGGGTGCCACCTTTTCCTGGTTCTGCCCAGTGCCTTTAATGACAGCATGGGTGAGGCTGATGGGACCAGGAGTCTAACAACATTTGGAGTGCATAGGTTCAGTATTTGTGTACAACTGCACCAGCTGTGTGTGTTTGGGGTGGGGTGGGGTGAGAGACCTAAGTGATTTTGTATGTGTTATAGAATGGTCAAGGGTAAAATAAATATTACATATAGATCAAGCAACAGTGTTATATATGTAAGTCAATTTTCCTTCGTTATACTTTGGTATTTACCAGCTTCTGATTAACTTCCTTCACCCATATTTGAACTAGAAAGGGGATGATCCTGTTAGTTGTAGACACATTTAAATTTTTCTTTTTGAAAGCCACACATTTTTAAAAATTTATATATTTTAAATTGTGTATATAATTAGAAAAGGGGGCTGTTGCAGTTATAAATGGGGGCTCATTCTTAACAATTTTTAGATTAGCTTTGAAAATATTCTTTCGTACCTTTTGCAAGCTGCTCTATTGACAAATTCAGTTACTATCTAAAACTTTGGCTCTTAGAAAGTTGCTTACTTTCAGGGATTCTGTTGATGATGACACAAGGTTTGATAGAATGATGGCAGGCTTAAGACAGATGGTGACTTCATAATAAGCAGTTCTAGACTTTTGAGTTTTGGAACGGTGAACTGCTGTTTATTTCCCAATGATATTTCCAGTTTTCATTGTATGTTGTGCAGCTAATAATGGCATCATTCACACCTAACATAGCCATATATTGACTTCACAAACAGTATTTACTTTATTTGCCAAAAAAATCTCGAATACAGCAGATACTTCATTGGAGGCGGACTTAGCTTGCAGTCCCCACCATGACTACTCAAAAGTAGAAATCAATGGGACTTGTGAGTTTAATGTTTAACAAATCTACTTTTAAGCACAACTAAGTACGAAATCAAAATTTAGAAATATGTAAACTTACAGAAACAAAGAAGATTGTAGGCATTGACACAGGTTACTGTGAAGGTTTACCAGGGTTATACAGACTGTGATCAGGAAAAGAAATCCAGACCACAAAAGGGAAAGGTTTTATTGATTCCAAGGGCAGTGCAATTGCCCACAAGGTAGCAGACAATTCAAAACAAACACCCACATGGCTTTAATCACCACAGGGGACGTAATTATTGATCACAGGTAGTTTACTGCAACATAACTTTACAATTTCAGTAAAGGAAGGTGGCCAGTTTTCCAGTCTTCAAGTGGAAGCAAGTCTTGGACCTTTTCTAGTCTCTCCAACGCAAGTTTCACCAATGGAAAAGAGGAGACTGTCCTGCTGTCTGTTGTCCAGGGAGGTCTTCTTCAAAGCCTTGTCTTCATTTGACACAACTGGAACTAATGTCACATTACTCACTTACTTACAATTTTTCCATCTCCCATGCTTGCAAAAATTGATAAATGACCTCATGGTACTCTTTCATTATTTCTTTGACTACATACTATAGCTGCTACATGAATGGTGTGGTACTTGCATAAAATGGCCTTGTAAGTTTTTGGGTGAATGTGGAAGAAAGCCATAAACTTTAACCTATTTTACTAATACCACAAGTTGTCTGGCTTGAATATACTCATCATTGTTCCCTTGACCTTTCCTCCATATACGAAGTACTTCCTCTTAGGTTTCTTCCAAATTCTGTAAATGCTACATGACCTTTCTTAGTTTAGTTCGAAGCCTGGCTTGTCAGCATCCAATCAAGATATGATCTGCACATTCTGCCCATCTCTATACTGTTGTTAGCTGCAAGCAGAATAATAAATCATCATAGATCCAGAGGGAAAAACCTCGCTCAGGTTAGACAAACTGGACCAGGCTTTCAAAATGCCATTGACAAGTAATGGCATTTTTTTCCTTTTAGGGGACAGTCTCAGGCCTTGGAGAGATCCAGCACTTCTGTTGCACGATCAAGACTTCTAGTATCAAGCAGCAGAACAAAATGTTGTTCCCTGGTTAGTTATGTAGAAGGCTTCCTTGACTACAATAGGAGACTTCTTCGAAACCTAATTACAACGGAGGAGAGACAATTTGGAAGGGTTGCAGTACTCTCTCTCTCTCTCTCTCTCTCTCTCTCTGTGTGTGTGTGTGTGTGGTTGCCATGAGTAAAAGGTGCCTGCAACAGTTTTTATTATTTGCAAATGTGCCCATGCCCCTCCCCAGACTGGTGACCTATGATATAGCTTGATAAACGGGTTGGAGAACTTGAATGCTTGCGTCCTATTTTGTGACATTTCAGTTTTCTGAATAAAGGTCTTGCTCTAATGGACTTTGAAACATAATAAACAGTGTCAATACATCTGAGAGCAACCATATAAGACAAGCATACAAACAAGATAATAAACATCTAATCATGGGCATATCCAGGATTTATGTTGGTGGTGGCAGGCTTTAAATGGGGGGGGGGGAAGAACCTCAGTTAATTATTTGTTATTGGTCTTGGCCACCCCGGCTACACCCATGCATCTAACTCACCTGTTCAAAATGCATCAGGAGAACCCTGGGGAGGATTGGGACTAAAAGTCTAAGGAAAAGCGTGGCCTCATGGAGTCCAAGTCGTGAGGGAGCATGATATGTGAGACCATAGAATGTGTTCACTGCATGCTTACATGGCATAGATGTTAAGTTTAGGTGCCTTCACTTGCAATGCCCATGCTTCGTATAATAAATTTATAAACACTCTATACTTTTCTTAGGATGGAACGGGGAGGGAGGGTTATCCTAAAACTTTGTTTTGTATTTTTAAATAAAATTAACAATTATATAAGATAATTATAGCTTCCACAAATACAACAGCTTAGTTCCACAAGGAGTAAACCATCTAATACTTGTGATAGCTGCCATGGGTTTCCAAATAGTGTAAACATGTTTCTAAAAGGGAATCTTATCTGTTTCTGAGAGATTATTTTTATTACTGTGATTAGACTTTCATCTTATAAAACCAAATAAGTCAGTTTAAGATTAGCTACTATTGCCAAATCACATTGAACATAAAATGTGTAAGGCCCTTCATTTCTGTTTTCACAGTTGGCAAGTTTTTCTACAGAAATAGCGTTCCAAAAAAATTAAAAGATTGGATTGTGCAAAACTGTTTCTTGCCGCCAACAACCTCTTTGCACACATCACCAGAAACTTGCTTTTCCAGACACAGTTTAAGGAACCTGAACCAACAGGCTTTAAGCCAGCAGATAAAAATATTAATGAACCTGTGCTCTCACCTCAAGTGGAAAATTTCCCTTCTCCATTCTCAAAGAGAGCTACTGATGTCTAGTTCTCAGCATAGGTCAACCACCAAGGGGACCAAAGCTATCTCTGTCCCATAGCTAAGCCTAAAACAAGATTAAAATGGATCTAGATAATTAGTCTCTCCTACATGGAAGCCATGCCTGTTGTCTTTGTCCATGGAGTTTTCTTGGCAGGGATACTGGAGTGGTTTGCTGGTTCCTGCTCCAGGTGGAGCACGTTTGGTCAAAACTCTCCACTATGACCTGTCCATCTTGGGTGCCCTGCACAGCATAGCTCATAGCTTCTCTGAGGTATTCAAGCCCCTTTGCCATGGCAAGGCAGTGATCCATGAATTCTGGTGCTGGAGGAGACTCTAGAGAGTCCCATGGACTGCAAGAAGATCAAACCTATCCATTCTTCAGGAAATCAGCCCTGAGTGCTCACTGGAAGGACAGATCCTGAAGCTGAGGCTCCAATACTTTGGCCACCTCGTGAGAAGAGAAGACTCACTGGAAAAGACCCTGATGTTGGGAAAGATTGAGGGCACAAGGAGAAGGGGACGACAGAGGACGAGATGGTTGGACAGTGTTCTCGAAGCTACCAGCATGAGTTTGACCAAACTGCGGGAGGCAGTGGAAGACAGGAGTGCCTGGCGTGCTCTGGTCCATGGGGTCACAAAGAGCCGGACACGACTAAACGACTAAACAACAACAACAACACATGGAAGCCATAGCTGCTCTTTCTTCAAGCCCCTCCAGGTCCTGGCAGTCAATTGGCCCATCCCTCACATCCTGCATGCCTCCCTCTGTCTTGGACTGCTCTGACTATCCTGCCTCCTGCCTTGTGAGTGGTGCTAACCCCCATAAATCGCTGCCCCCCTCTCCTGGGTCAGTTCCCTTGCCCCCTGCCTCCACACTCTTCAGAGCCCTGCCTGTCCCTGGCAGAAGCACACAGAGAATTAGGCAAGGGACTTTACCTTTGCCAGGATTCTGCTGTAAAGTGTATCAGGTAAGGGCAGATGAAGTGACCCTGAAAAGACACAGAATACGTTTCTCTCACCACGGAGCAGCTACTGAAAGTTCCCACATGTTAGAGGAACAGCCTAGTATGGCAGCTGAGGTTGGACCTGGGACCTGAAGTCCAAGCCCCACAACCCAAGAGGCCCTCAAATGACCACCCAGACAGTGAAATGTGAGGGCAATGGCAAACAGATTCTGCATTCGCATTCTGGCTGACACAAACATGCCACAGGCCTCCAGCGTTGATACTGCTTTCTGCAGCACCCCATTAAAAAAAACAACACAACCATTTTATAGCCGGGGGGCAGTTAACTGTGCATGCATATACTGTAGTTACAGATGCTCATTTTATTAATTTTGCTTTTAAAATATTTTCCTTCACAACATATTGCTTATTCCCAAGTAAATGCGTTCAGCATTTGGGCAGCGGAAGCAAACTCATTTTTATTCCTTGTGGTCATGATGGTGCTATGATTTAACCTTGCTTAAAACTGCACACTGAGAAGTTCTTTAAAAAGAAAACAGGATTGACTGTTGTTGTTGCTCCATTTTGTTCTAACATATCATGAAGGTAGAGACAGTGGTAGATTATGGAATGGGTGGTGATGGAGGAAAGAGGAGAAATGTTAATTCTGTCAATTAGGTGCTTTGCGACTGGAGATCTCTGTACGAAAGACCATTAAGTCCAGGATGTAAAAAGCACCTAGCTGCACCACAGGAGAGGCTTTCCAGATCAGAGCCTGGGAGGGGGGCAGTTTTCTTTCATATTTGACCCTGACACATATTTCCATACACTCTGTAGAAATTAAAGTCTCTGCCAAAGAGTGGAAACCTTCCTTGTTCCAAGTTGGCCTGTGGTTGTATAAGCACTGCTGCTGCTGTTTTCCATCTCTGCTCAAGGCAGTAATGGGAACTATGTGCATAGTTTAAATTGTAGCAGTCAAAGGCAAATATCTTGGAACTGTTTCACCAATCCTCCCTAAGTTTAGGTATTTAAAACAACCTGAGCTTGGTAGCCCGTAATCCTGGTTCTCATAGGCAACCGACCATTTGGCATTATTTACGTTTTTAAATACATGGTGATGAATGAATTCATACAAAGGGGGATACAGCCCTAGAGATTCCACTTTCGATCCTGGCAAATTCCATTCTTAAAGAATACCAATACAGACACAACAGCTGTGGGATCCGGCTCCTTTTTCAACCGGGGCCAAACAGGGTTTCAAATGACATAAGCAGACTAAAGTTTCAAAGCAGCACATGCCTGGAAGGACATTCTATTCTGCCCAGATAATTCCTAAAATATGATCTGCAATGAATGGCTAGTCAGATGGAGTCTCTCAAGAATGCTGTGTGTTTGAGTTGATCCATTGTTTATGCAGAAATCCTCAGGCAACAAGATTACAGAGCAGCAATCCTATATCCATTCACTGGGGAGTAAGCTTTGTTGTAAACTCAGTGTGACTTACTTTTGAGCAGACATATATTGGGTTGTGCAGAAAGAAAGAACACTTTCCGCAATATGTTTCAAGGACGTCCCTTCCCTTAGGCACAGCAAGCATCAGGCAGCAGATGCAGGAACAGGTCAGGTGGGGAAGTGGTTGAAATGGCAGAATTGGTAGTGGTCTTCCTTGCAAGCCCTAAGCTAGCCTACAGGCCTCAAGTTTAGTGGGGGAAGCTGTCCCATCACCAGTGTTGACATAAGAGTCAGCTGCCGATTTGGTCCGCTTCTGTATGTGGAATAGTTAGGAGGGAGTCTCTGTCTTTTCCTCTGCTCTGACCAATTTGCTTAGAAGTACAGTTGTACCTCGAGTTACAAACACCTTGGGTTACAGACTCCACTAACCCGGAAGTAGTACTTTGGGTTAAGAACTTTACCTCAGGATGAGGACAGAAATTGCGCAGCGGCAACACAGCGGCAGTGGGAGGCCCCATTAGCTAAATTGGTAGCTCAGGTTAAGAACGGTTTCGGGTTAAGAACGGACCTCCGGAAGGAATTAAGTTCGTAACCAGCGGTACTACTGTAAACACCTTCTGATTCTGTGGGTTTCCCTTTCAGTAAATATGTTCAGGACTCTTAGCATAAGGATATTTCCTCACATATATGTTCACAAATAAACCTAAGACTACCTCATCCACTTTACTACCTGCCACAAAAATCTGTTTTTGCACAAGACTGGGCACCTGAGAAAAAGGACATGCAAATCAGTAACCGAGGAAGTGGCAACATAAACGTCTGCTGAAACCGGATTCCAACAAAAACATTGTGGGAGAAATCTGGTAGGCTGTATTTAGAGTCATTTGTTTTGATGACAGCCATTTTCTGATATCTGAACCGCCCCTTATAAATTTATTATTAATCCTTTCCCCTCTCCTAACAGAATTGTTGTGTATTGCATTACTT